TTAGTTACTATACTGGTTCTTGTATATGATTTATGATAGCTTTCACTACACAAGAAGGGATTGGTCTTCTGTTTCTTTTTCCTAATTTACCATACACCCAATAAGTGTAATATCTATAAGCAGCTGAATGTACAGATCTGAAATCAAGATATGCTCATTATTATTATTACTAATGTTGTATTGTCACAAACAATTTTAAAATGAATTTCACCTGTTTGAGATTAGATCAGGTAGTGGGCCTTTTTGCAATGAATCATGTATTGTATGTAGTACCAGTCACAGAACATCATGATCTAAACATAGGGTATTGAATCATTCATATAATGTGATACACCCATCAAGATCCAGTTCTGTAAGTTTTTCTCTGACCTATGGACACTCTTTACAACAAAAAGGCTCAGTTAGCATTGGTAAATATCCCTTGCAAGTACACCAGTCAGTGTTTCCTAGATGGTCTGATAATTATTTCATCCAATTCATGGTCATTGTCACTGCTATTCTTTGTTTCGATCTCAATATTTTTAGTTAGAACAGACTGTTCTTCATCTGGTGATCTCTGGCTTGAAACTGTACACTTGTACTTTCACAATATTATCCATTTTAATTACGATACTGACACAAATAAATGAAAAATAATCACAGGCTGATCTATTCCTATTTGTTATCACAGCTTAGCACAGGTGACATCATTTTCAAGTTCTGACAGTTGATTGGCTTATCAGCCTTCACCAGCCTTGAGCAATGCTGTCCCACAGTTCACAAAATATGCTGCACTTTTGAATGTTTGCTTCTAAGCTATATGTGGAGAGATGGAGTTGTTTTTTTCCCCATGCATTGTGGCTAACTTATCATAGCATTTATTTAGAGTGTAGATCATTAAAAAGGAAATACGTTTTACTAGTGAATGGTTCTTTTAAATAATGTGAAAATAATAAATAAATTATACAAATCACTGTAAGAGAAAGAGAAAAATAGGATGTATCTTTTGGCCAAATTACCTTTACTGGGACATCTCAACTAACACCAGAAATACAAAAAATAAAGAAAATCTTATTGTTTCACACTAGTATTGGTTTTTCTTTTCAAATAAAAAAAATATTTCCACATAATGGAGGTATAACTAACTGACCTGCCAGATAAAGTCTTAGAATAAAGTGACCACTGGTATTCACCAGGCTTCAAAGGTGAGAATATTACATCCAGTTCTACAGTTTCTCCAGGTAATAGTCTCATGAAGCCATCACCAGGTTGCACATCAGCAAACTAAAGAAAGACAATACAGAATCAAACTTTCCACATATACAAGAAATGAATTAAATGTATATTGTAAATTTTACTGGAAATTAATCCCATTCATATCACTCACTCTAGAACACCTACCATTTATTTTGAAGAAATGTGATAAAACTTTTTTTTGTAAATTTTAGATGATATCTACTAAGTTTTTCATATGGATAACACCTAAAATTTTAGAATCAAGTAAGTGTTAATAAAACTTTAATTTGTGGGTTATACATGAGCACTATAATACATGCTAAACATCTTTTTGAAGCATTCTGATATTAAAGATTTGATCTAATAACTATCATTAATTGTAAGGGTATCCAACTGATGAAGCAATGAATTCTCAGAATTTGTTGAGGCTTACTATTTTGCATTAAATAAGAACAGCAGTTAACCTTATGAAAAGGTAAGTGACATGTATTACTTGTGACATAATGACCTCTGCTGCCTAACCACAAAGAAATGACTGGAATAGTAAACGTTTGTCAACAACAGGTTATGCACTATTTCTTAGCTGCCTAGCAAAATGTATATGAACATTTGGTAATTATCATAATACAACAGATTTCAATTAGACACATTTGATTTTGATGCAAAGAATATTATCCATAAATAACGTAATATGAATACTTTTATTCTTATCTATGGTAAAGTTAAAACAGTTTGACTTCGAAAAGAAAATTGTTTGTGTTCTAAATCTCAAGTTTACTGTTATTATTAAAGACATTATAAACAAATACTTGCATGTTTTATTCATTATTAAAATATATTTATACTATAAATTTCCTTTGATTAATAATTTGTGAATTTTGTGCAGTCTGTCCAAAACCATTTTGATTTTTGTAAAAAATGAGTGTTTTTGCTAGAGATGAGTTACTAAATAACTTATAATTGTATAAAATGTTTTGAATTTTAAAATTCAATGAGCTTTAAAGAAATTCATATCAATTAGAATTTTTAATCTCCTGATTCTTTCATATTTTCATCTCAATAACTTACAGTTAAAGTTCTGCTTTCTGTATTCCAGTCAATGTCAGCACGTGTATATAAAACAATTACATATACAATATACAAACATACCCCCTCAGATTTAAGATAAAGACTCTTATGCCATCAATTAAACACCTAAACAGAAAAATTAGTTTTTAACAAACATATAGAATGTTTTGAATAATTGGTCCTTCTCATCTGAAAAACAATGATATTGTTACGTCTCCGTTTGTTCGTTAATTTTCCGTAAATTCGTTCCAACGAAACTTTAGCGACACAAGTCCTTTCTTAAATAAAACTGGTTTATTCTTTCTGAATATAACTTTGCGATACACTTAATTTCAACAGTTGCGCTATAACAAACGCTATAATTCTCAACGAACGTCTCATATTCTCTCTCCGCAGTTCAATTACACACACATTGTGACCGTCTTATATATACAAGACTACACTATATCTGGAAGGATCCCGAGATTTAAAGAAAGAACGTGAATGTTCGAGAACGACGTGGCGTGATACTAGTCACGTGACCTCTGCTGACGCAACACTGCCCCACCTTAGTATTGTTCGGGACGAACAATAACCACATATAATAAACGAATAACAATTAACAATAACTTAATTAAATGTACAGAATTACAAAATTACAATTCAACAAAATCTCTTAATTTTACGGGACGTATCTTCTTCCGTACTGGTCTCCGTCTCGTTGGCTTCTGCTTCATGTGGGGTTCATCTGCTTTATCAGGAAATGTCCTATCATTGGTAACAGTCACATCAGTGGTAGTAACTTCATCAAGAGCTTCACCGTTTCCCTACACAAAACTGAGTAAAGTTTCTTCTTTGATGGTGGCTTCTTCGGGTGGCACGT